TTTGATGCTAGTGAATTTAACATTCGTGACATTCATTCATGGAACGTAGCTAATTGTTCCCAGATGGAACTTGTGTCGTCCTCATAAGTAACAGTGATCTCAAGATTCAAAAGAAAACAAGTAGAACCCTAGTCCGACAAGCCTTGAAACATCGGAAAAATGTGGGAGTTTTTAATCTACTTTAGAATAGATCCTAGAAAAAATATAATAAAACCACTATATAAGAAATCATTATATAAGAAACTAAGCCCCTAGATTTTGGATGCTTTATACAAGAAAACAATATATCAATCGTGGATGATAACATCAGATCCACGAAAGAATATGTAAATTCTTGCTCCACCAAGTCGGAATATATGTATTCATAAATCTCCTAATGTGTCCCTCCATATCGTCCTCAACGAATTGAGTAAGCCGACAACATTGTTCCAAAACGGCCATCTTAGGACGTGGCATGGCTATGGGGCTTATATGGGCTTAGCATGGTTATGGGTGATTTCGTGTGGCTCCTGCGGCGACTTCATGACTTCCATCTCCCTGTCCGCCATGTTCTGGAGCATGGCCGTATTTGAACCGTGGAGCTGCAGGCATGGGTATTTGGGTAGGGTGTAGGGTTTAGGCTGCGTTGGGCTAGTGTGTAGGATCTAGGCTTCGGGGGTTTGAGTTTTAGGGTAACCCTAAACCATCACCCCAGCTTGCCGAAAGCACGGGCCTAAGCCCGAACTAAACCCAAACCCTGCACCCTGAACCCTAAACCCCAAGCACTAAACGCAGCCTGAGAGTCCTTAAGCGCTGGACGCCTCAAGCCCCGGGACCGAGAGTCTCGGAGGGTTTGGGGATAGGGTTTGACAATTTAGGGTTTGACAGTTTAGGGTTTGACAGCTTTGGGTTGGGGTTTAGGGTTTGGGGGTTAGGGTTTGAATTGGGGATTTGTGTTTGGGTGGTCGGAGCCTGTGGTTTGGACCTAGGTTTTGGCAAACATGGAGAACTGTTCGTTGAACCAATGCGAATCCCTTCACACCATCAACTGGCCCAAAAATGTTGAATTTAGCAAGACACCTGATTCCAGCCTGTAGCTTTCGATCATGCCGGCAATCTAAATCAACAAGGGTAAGATTTCTGGGATTCTATGATGAGCCGCTCAGGCGACCACCTGGCAAAGCTCAACCCTAAACCCTAAACCCTAAACCCTAAACTCTAAACCCTAAACCCACTATACTCGAAAATCCACAAAAGGAACCCTGACTCAAAAGACCCCCCCATCAAAGTAGATTCCCTGATTAGAGGGCACTGGGCCTCTTTGGTCTCGCGGCTTAGATTCAAGCGGTTTAGGGTCTAGGGTTTCTGGTTTAGGGGTTTAGGGTTTAGGGTTTAGGGTTTAGGGTTTAGGGTTTAGGGTTTAGGGTTTAGGGTTTAGGGTTTAGGGTTTAGGGGTTAGGGGTTTAGGGTTTAGGGTAAGGATCGGCTGTCTTCCATTGCCAGGTTTCAAGTGATCAGAACCGCCCCCATACTCTCGGGAGCGTCACACTGACCCTTGTCATTCGTTCCCAAGCATTGTAGTTGGCCACTTGCCAGCACAACACACTTGTGACGAGGTCCTGCCGAAACTGAAAGAACCTGTGGTGCGCTTCTTGGCCAATTGCACTGACCTTCGTCATTCCTACCAAAGCAAACCAACTCGCCTTCTGTGGTCACAACACAGGTGTAGCCCGTTCCAGCGGAAACTCCACGAACCGACCCTACGTGCGCAGGCACATCGCACTGACCGTACCTGTTGTGGCCGAAGCAAGCTAGCTGGCCATCCGTCCTCACTGCGCAGGTGTGGCTGCTGCCTGTGGAGACTGCGAGCACTGGCCCCAGACCGGCTGGCACGTCACACTGGCCTTGAAAGTTCATTCCGAAGCAGACCAGCTTCGCATTTTCTGTCACTGCGCAAGTGTAGTGACCGTTGGCCGAGACAGACTGGACTCTTCCCAAACCAGTCGGGACGTCGCATTGGCCAAACTTATTCACACCAAAGCAGACCAGGTGACCATCCTTCTTCACCGCACAGGTGTGATAGCTGCCGGTAGCGACCGCCAGAACTGGCCCCAGGTCGCTTGGCACCTGACACTGGTTGTTTTCATTCTTGCCAAAGCAAACAAGCTGACCGCTTGCTTTCATGGCGCAGGTGTGGCGAGCGCCTGCGGATACGGCCACAACTGGGCCAAGGTCGTCAGGGACATCGCACTGGCCATACTTGTTGTATCCAAAACAGACCAATTGTCCATCGGCCCTCACCACGCAGCTGTGGTCACCGCCCGTGGCGACTGTCTGAAGTGATCCCCAATCTGCCAGCATGGTCAGCATCAACTTGTGTATGTTGCGGGCGCGTCGTGCGAGTCCTTGTTCTCGCAAGGACTTGCGTAGCAGGGGCCGCGCAGATACCCCGCATGGCAGCAGGCCAGGGCGTGAGGCCGGTAACAAGCGCCAAAAGCTCATCGAGCAGCAGCTCTGTCCCAGGTGCCAAGGCTCAAATTCCCCAGTAGCTCGCGTTTGTAGCCATATGGGACTTGAGGAATTCGATTGGGTGTGTATGGCACTTAGGGGAAGAACGGGAGAACACTCAACCCTATCCCTAAGCCCTAAGCCCTAAGCCCTAAACCCCCTGAAAACTTGTGGATTCCAGAGCCCCGGCTCTCTTGAAACACATGCAGCCTCAGGGAATCTCGGCTGCGGCGGACACAACAGTGGTGGGCCTGGGTTTAGGGTTTAGGGTTTAGGGTTTAGGGTTGAGGGTTGAGGCTTTAGGGTTTAGCTGCAACTTCTGTTGTCCATGGCTTTTGCGTGGAGTTGGAAATCCTATAGAAATAACTTGGATATGAGTTAGAAGAGGTTGGCACCCCCCAACAAAAGGTAGGGCAATTGGAGAGCTAGCTAGTGCCGATGGAGCCTTTCACATTTTTCCGTCCTGTGGGACTTGCGATCCTTAGCTTCTCTAACTGTGAGCTCGGCTCTCCTACTAAATGCAAGCCAGGCATAAGAAGAAAGTCTATCACCAACATGTAGAGAACGAGTGAGAGATAGTGATCCCATTCTTTTAGAAACCGCAATCTGCACAAAAGCTGGAATCGCGCCGCTCTTTGACGGTGAGCTTACGAACATTCTTCTGCGCTCTTTTGCCCTAAACCCTAAACCCTAAACCCTAAACCCTAAACCCTAAACCCTTTTTTTGCTCAGGCACCTCAAAGCTCTGAGAGCAGAGCTGCTGTGCATTCGCCCGTCTCGGCAGTCTCGTGGCCGGAGGCGTGCAAGGTGCCGACGCTGCCAAAGCCCCAAGGATCCATAATGTACCTATTTTACCTATATTAGGGTTTAGGGTTTAGGGTTTGGGGTTTGGGGTTTAGGGTTTAGGGTTTGGGGTTTGGGGTTTGGGGTTTGGGGTTTGGGGTTCAGGGTATATACATGCCTATATATCGGTATTTCCGAAAATAGGGGTACCTTGTTGGGGTCCTGATTAGCCTATACTAAGGATACCCTCTTTTCGTAAAGCCCCATATAGTCTATGCTTGGGCCTTGAAAGGCTTCCGAAATAGAGTAGCTTTAGGGCCCAGTATGTGTTACATAGGTACATGGACCCTTAGGGAAAGCAGTTGCAAGGCGCTGTCTGTCCAATATCGCCCTGCTGGCGACTCTTATGAGATCTTGCACTCGTTGCCTCTGTGCGGAACCTCCTCAGATTGCTGCTTCGCCTTTGCAAGGCTTTCAAGGTTGCACCCTTTCGGCCTAAACCCCCTAAACCTTGCACGTGCTCAATGTAAGAACTTCCCCTTGCTGCCTGAAGAAGGGCTATTGTGACAGGTATGGTAAGCGCTGAAGGCGGAGGATCGTTCTTGGGTTCGGGATACCTTTCGGAGTGCTTTCCCTTATCATAAGGAGGACCCTAAGCCCTAAACCCTAAACCCTAACCCCTAAACCCAAACCCCCTATAAGGAGGACATAGGAGGACCCCTTAGAGGACCCGACAGTTGAAGCGACGCCCAGGCGGGCCCAGGCCTTCTGGAAGAGACTCAGGGAAGCCTGCGCGTTCTCGAACAGAAGCATGCGGGGACAGGCTCCATATCTGCCACAGGCACGGGACACGTCCTTGGTTAGGGTTTAGGGTTTAGGGTTTAGGGTTTAGGGTTTAGGGTTTAGGGTTTAGGGTTTAGGCTTCACGGATCCACAACCGGCTCCATGAAAACTCGAGTATACAAGAATGACGGTTTGTCTGACGGTTTGCCTTCTGATGCGCGGAAGACCGATCAGTCCCAATAGCAGAGGGTACTCATTACCCTGAGGGTTCATGTACCTGTGTAGTATATAAAGGGGTTACACTAGAGTAGCTTTAGGGCCCAGGAATATACTATACCTGGTGGGCACCCTTCCTTGGTTGGTTACTTTACAAGGAAACCCAGAGCTAAAAAACAGCAAGTAAAGGGCACCACTGGGCCTAAGTACATGGGACCTGAACCCTAAACCCTAGACCCTAAACCCTAAAACCCTAACCCTAAAGCCTAAACCCTAAACCCTAAACCCGGCAGGATGAAACCCCACGGCCATGGGTCTAGCCACTGCGCAAACCTCCCCGGTGCGCCAGCGGCGAGGCTCGGCAAGTCATTGAAAAAGAGCCACCTGTCGGGTCACGGTTTAGGGCTTAGGGTTTAGGGCTTAGGCTCAGGGTGGGGTTGTAAAGTTTAGGGTTCAGCGAAAAATCCAGTTGCAGTCAGGGGCCTTATGCAAAGGAACCCGATTTCATGCAGTGGCGACAGGTACGGTCTAAGGGACAACCGAGAAGAGCAAACCCTCAGAGAAAAGAAGCGCAGCACGAGATACGTGGTCTCATAAACAGCATACGCACGCTCGCTATCGCTGCGAGTTTGCAAAGCCCCACAAGCCTTTACTTCATTGAAAGACCTTCCCCCAAAAAACACCCCAAACCCCAAACCCCAAACCCTAAACCCTAAACCCTAATCCCTAATCCCTAACCCCAAGCCCTAAACCCTAAACCATTCACATGCAAATCCTCAGGTCGAGCTATGTCGAGCTACTCCGCCGGGTTGGAGAGGCTTCGGCAGAAGACCACGTAGTGCCGAATGTCCTCACCCAGAAGCAGCACAAGGGAAAACGGGCTTCCGGGTTTAGGGTTTAGGGTTTAGGGTTGGAACTTAAGCTAATGTTACCATCACCGGGGGTCTAGGTTTAGGCTGTGAAGGAACTTAAGTCTAAGTTCCCAACATATAGGCTCATGACAGGCAGCCAGGCTCCTCGAACCCTAAACCCAAAACCCAATGATTTTCATCCTTTGACCTAGGCTGCCCAGTAACCAAGGCTTAAAAAAGGTGCCCTTTTTTGCTTAAAAGGGGTTCATAAGGGAACCTAAACCCCCCAAAAAGAGAATAAGGGTACTACTGGGCATCCTAGTAACCCTGTAACCCTAAACCCTACACGCGAATAGTATTGCTCCTTTGTTATGGTAGACCCGCCTAAACCCTAAACCAAATGGCCCCGCAAGGGCCTCAGAGAAGGCGCCTCGAACTGGGAGGCGACGCGACAGTGGTAGGGGTTTAGGGTGTAGGGTTTATAGGCTTCAAAGTTTTGGGGGTTTTGGAGTTTAGGATTTAAGGTTCTAGGGTTTAGGGCCTGTGTGTGTGTGTGTGTGTGTGTGTGTGTGTGTTTGTGTGTGTGTGTGTGTGTGTGTGTGTGTGTGGTGTGTGTGGTGTGTGTGTGTGTGTGTGTGTGTGTGTGTGTGTGTGTGTGTGTGTGTGTGTGTGTGTGTGTGTGTGTGTGTGTGTGTGTGTGTGGTGTGTGTGTGTGTGTGTGTGTGTGTGTGTGTGTGTGTGTGTGTGTGTGTGTGTGTGTGTGTGTGTGTGTGTGTGTGTGTGTGTGTGTGTGTGGGGTCTTGGGGGTTTGAGGTGAGGATCCCGACAGGGGATGATATGTAATGAGCGAAGAGAACAGAGACCACGCATGAACAGACCTCTAATGTTTACCCAAGAGAACGTCGTATCCAAGAGCTTTTTGAGAAGCTTAGTATTCTTACTGTTATGGTATAATGAATATCAGTAATAATAATAATAATAATGATAAATATGAATATAACAAATAGAATTAAGAAACACATTATCGTGAAGTTAAGATTATTGGGCTACTAGTGTGTACGGTTTAATTAAGTTCTAGCATAAAGGCATGAACAGATGTAACAAACAAGGCTTATTTACTGTGCGTTTCGGGCAGAATAGAAGTGAATATTAGCGCGCTCTCAGCGTAAATTTTTCAAGCTCAACTTCAGGGCATGCCTTGCAAGAGAACCTTCGCGGGTACGAGGCCTGAGAGTTTGAGTAAACTTTCCTATATCACTTAAAAGAAGGCCTCTCTTAGTGAATCACCAGGGCTGTCGTTGGTCCTCCATGTAGCAGCCCATGGCCACAAGCCGCGCACCACCCAAGTCCGTGTCTGGGCGCAAGGCCCAGGCCAATGTTTGCATGGAGCTGCGCTCCAACTCCGGAAACGTGAGGTCGAAAACGAGCAAGGGGCAAGACTGAACGCCCAACTGTTCCACCAGTTCGTGTAACTGCCCGGTGCTGGTGGCACTTCCAGTCCACGGCACTGGCACGAAAGCGAAAAGGTCTGAGAGGAATTGCAGATCAGAGGCCTGGTGAAACTTTCCAAAAGCTTCGGAGCAATCACCATATCCCTCACCTTGGTGCCCCAGTAACCACATCACAATCAGGGCACCCTTTGTTGGTTGGCTTCTTCGTAAGGGAACCTTGAACCTCAAAAAAAACAGGGAAAAGGGTACCACTGGGCTACCAAGTCGCCCCAAGCAGCCACGAGCTCCCCCACCGGAACCAGCGTCTTCGACGTCGAGGCTTGCTCGTACATGCGCCACGTCTTTTGCAGGGCTTTCAAGGGCGTCCCGTCCTTGGCCGTGACAGGCTTCACAAGATTCTCGAAGGCCGTGTGGAAGACGCGGGAGTGCCACAGACTCCTGGGGTTCTGGTTTCAGGAACTCCTCAAGAAATAGCTTAAGAAAAAAGTACGGGCCGTCATGTTCTTTCCTGTGCAACCCTATGGCAACTTCACGTACTGATACAAAAGACTTAGGATGTTCCCCCTGAAAACTGACACTCCTCCATAGGGATCATAGTACCCTCCCCCTATTCTATTCCCTCTTAAGTGCTACTACAAGAAGGAACGTCCCACCCAAAAAAAACTCCCCCCTCGCAAAAAAAAAAAAAAACCAGAGCCAAGACTCTGAAAGAATGTGGAGAGCCAGCAACTCTCAGCCTGGGGATGGGCCAATTTTAGAGCCCCTTTGGCAACATATTCCTCAACAGGGTCCTCTTAAGCCCAACAAGGAAAGACCAGAAGATATCCAAAAGGGCCCCTAACCCTAAACCCCTAAACCCTAAACCCTAAACCCCAAACCCTAAACCCTGAACCCTAAACCCTAAACCCTAAACCCCTACCTGTGGATTTACGAAGTCGGAGTGGGAGTAGGAGGCCGTCCGATTCAGTTCGACCACCAGCCTGACGGATTCTTCATCCGGGCCCAAGTCCTTGCCCAGCTCGGCCTTTTTCAGGGTTTAGGGTTTAGGGTTTAGGGTTTAGAGGATAGCATGCCGCCCTATATAAGCTCAGAACCCTCGCCAGGCCGCTGTCTCCAGAAATCATGAACTCCCAAACCCAGAAACCCCTCAACCCCATACACCCCTAAACCCTAAACCCTAAACCCTAAGCCCTAAACCTCTCTTTCCTATAACAATTTAAACCTTAATGACCTTCGTGGTTTAAGGCCCGGGTTCGTGGTTTAAGGCCGACCGTCCCCTTCGGCTTTAAACCACGAACCCCGGGCCTTAAACCACGAATACCGAGCCTTAAACCACGAATACTGGGCCTTTAATTTAATCCTTAATGACCTTCGTGGTTTAAGGCCCGGGGTTCGTGGTTTAAGGCCCAGAATTCGTGAAATGGGCCCGTGGTTTAAAGCCCATAATTCGTGGTTTAAGGCCCATAATTCGTGGTTTAAGGCCCGTGGTTGAAGGCCCATAATTCGTGGTTTAAGGCCCGTGGTTTAAGGCCCAGGCCTCAAGGCCTCAAGGCCTCAAGGCCGGGGTTTAGGGTTTCAAGGCCTCAAGGCGGGGTTTAGGGTTTCAGGGCCTCAAGGCGGGGGTTTAGGGTTTCAGGGCCTCAAGGTCGGGGTTTAGGGTTTCAAGGCCTCAAGGCCGGGGTGTTGGGTTTCAAGGGGGAGGCTAACGAAGAGATGCAATGGCAAGAATATGAAGTAGTTAAGAATATTAGGTGTGTTTGTTGTGTCCGTTCGTTTAGGCCTTTGAAACTGAGATGATTGGAGAATACTTGTATTGTTGTTTTTCTCAATGTTATGGGATTCTCTGGGTGGGTGGGTGCTATATCAGAGCCAAAAATTGTAACTTTGCCATGAAACTGCTCGACCCGGAGCTGCTGAACCCCAAACCCTAAACCCTAAACCCTAAACCCTAAACCCTAAACCCTAAACCCCTAAACCCACCCGTAAAAAGCCCCAGGCCTGCAGTTGGTCCAGGGAGATGCCCAGCATCTCGAAATTGTCTAAAGTGCGCTGCAACTCCTGAGCTTCGAGGAAAGGTTTAGGGTTTAGGGTTTAGGGTTTAGGGTTTAGGGTTTAGGGTTTAGGGTTTAGGGTTGAGGGTTGAGGGTTGAGGGTTTAGGGCTTTGGCTTCCCCAGAAGCTGTGGAATAGAAAAGCTCCTCTTCCTCGGCTCAATGGGACCTTTAAGGGGGCCTTTGATGGATTACCTGGACTGCTCGCAGCTACTTCTGAGGGTGGCATCAGGCACATAGGCCACCGCCTGCTTTTGAGCACGGTAGGAATGGACTCGGAAGGAATGTTGAAGAGATTCTTGGGCGAGCCCGGCAGCCTTCTAATCAGACATCGGCAGGTCTTCTGTGTGCAGGCTGCAAAAGACGCAGCCGCGCAGCTGCAAGATGCTGCAATGGTGCTACGCTGCTGCAAGGCGCTTTCCAGGGTAGACGCGACCGGACTTGCGATTCGCGCCAGAATTCTCTGCGTGCGTTTGGGAGGAATCTAACAGTTTAACTTAGTGCTTTACAACACACTAGGATATAGTATGACATACTGCTATACTGTCCTATTCTGTTGTAGTCAAAACAGTTTTCCTTTAAACATGGTCTGTGCAACATAACGTAATGTTGCACCCTCTTTCACAACCACCACCCACCACCACCACCGACCCCCCCCCCCCCCTCCCGCCCGAACAGTCGAAGCTGATGCTGTGTCTCTCTATAACGGTCCCCGGGTCTCATATGATTTCGAAAGGGACGAGTGTAGATAAATCTGAATTCGACAAGACGAAAGAGGAAGAACAAGAACAGCCCGAGGGTTGAAGGCCCTCGGGGCCTTCAACCCCTCCCCAAACCTCGATCGCGAGCATCTATTCATATGGTCACTTCTCACACTTATGGCCCCTGTTTGGGTGCCCTGAACAAGAGGGGCCGTCGAGAAATAGGGACCCCAAAAGGGACCATCACTTCGACAAATCACCATATGGCTCAAAGAAGGGAATTCTTGGTTTCGGCTCAGTTGGGATTCCGGGTTCTCGGGGTCTTGGCAAGAAGGCCCGTTTAGGGTTTAGGGTTTAGGGTTAGGGTTTAGGGTTTAGGGTTTAGGGTTTAGGGTTTAGGGTTTAGGGTTTAGGGTTTAGGGTTTAGGGTTTAGGGTTTAGGGTTTAGGGTTTAACGTTTAGTTAGGGCTTAGGGTTTATTAAGATTCAAAGGCCCAGCCTTCAAGCCAATCCAGAGACCCGGGCCCGGGGCCAGGACAGAAAAGAGTATCCCCAAAACCGTGCCTTGGGATGTTCCCCCTTATACTAACAGTCCTCTTCCCTAAGCCCTAAACCCTAAACCCTAAACCCTGTATCCTTAACCCTAAACCCTGAACCCTAAACCGATTATAGTACCCACGACTATATAGTCCCTACTAAGGACTGGCTAGCATAAGGGGGGAGTATCTCAAAACCGTGCCCATTTTTGGAGGTCCGAGTAACGCCTGAGCCAGCCCTTTAGGGTTTAGGGTTTGGGGTTTAGGGTTTAGGGTTTAGGGATGGATCGCGCGCAACAATGTGTTTCAGATGGCTTTTGAAAAGGGAATTCTAGGTTTTGGCGCACCTTACGATTCAAAGGCCCGGCCTCTACGCCAAGAGGCGTAGGCATCGGCTTGTGAAGCTTTTGTTTGAAAGCAAAACTCTAAACCCTAAACCCTAAACCCTAAACCCTAAACCCTAAACCCTAAACCTCAACGGATCCCGGGAACCACTTGACTTTACACAGGACCCCGCTCCGGACCCAGAAACGGTCACAGAGTTCTCCGGCAAACATGACATTCTTCAGGGGGGGCCCTACTAGACAGGGTGCAACACTAACATAGTGCAGTGGGGGCCCTAGTAAACAGGGTGCAAATGTAATATAGTGCAAAATGCAATGACATGTGACATAGCGCAGAGAAGAATCGGCACTTAGTAGCCCAGTCTAACCAGATTACAATAAGGGCACCCCCCCGTTTTTGGTGGGCTACTTTATAAGGGAACCCAAGGCCACCCAAGGGCAACAGACGAGAATGCTGTAGGATCGATCTAGGCTCCATAGCCGCGCGGACCACCTCTGGACTGGCCGAGCGCTGGAGGGCCTCGTACTTCTCACGCTGGGCGTGGAGCGTCTTCAGGAGCCTGGGTTGGGCCATAAAAACCCTCGGAAAAAGACAATTTGTGTAGAGGGTCCCTAAAACGCCCAAGTAGGGCAAAAGCAAAATATAAATAAGATATTTATGTAGAGGGTCCCTAAAAAGCCCACAGTAGGGAACAAAACCAAAATATGCCCCAAAAACCAACCGAGCAGCTTTTGAAGCGTCTGCTCCTTGCTCTCCCTACTCCGCCGAAGTGCTGCTGTGCGGAAAGGTGCACTCCCTGTGCTCACAGGTCTCAGGGCCTCTAGGTCACCGTAAAAGGACGGCATCTTGCAATGACTCCATCCACTGACATCTTGCAGCTGGACCCGAATCCAATCACCCTGTCGGTCAGTGACCCTGAAGTGCTCGTTGGAGTGGATAACGCCGAGAACCGGGGAGTCTCGGCGAGGCTCTTGGCGGATATTCCAAGAGTCTATGCCCTCCAGTTCCAGCTCAGGTGGGAGGTACCACACCTCCTCCATGCGAGCGCGCTTCGTCTGCATCACGCAGCGCTTGCGGGCGAGATGCTCTTGGAACTCTCGGGTTTAGAGATGCTCTTGGAACTCTTGGGTTTAGAGATGTCTTTGGGCGAGGAAGCTGCCTGTGCACTACCATGACCCTCTGACCTACCAGAAGAAAACAGCTCTGGAGCCCTAAAAGCCGTAAACCACTTACTCATTGCTTAAGAACCGCGAGAAAATATAACATATTCTTCCTTATTCAGGGTAATATATAGGGATTATTATCATTTTTAGTTTATTCTTTTGGGGCTCTTAAGCAAATAGTAGTAAATTGGAGCAATGTGGGATGTGTGCCTTGCGTGGTAACGATCGTAGCAGTGAGCCCCAGTCGCAGAAACGTCCCGCCTTCACACGTTTAGGGTTTGGGGTTTAGGGTTTAGGGTTTAGGGTATGCGAAACTTTGTACTGGGAACTCTGACACACCCCGCTTGAAGGTTACCGCACGATTAAGGAGCACAGGTGAAAAGCTTGGGGTTTAGGAAGTTTAGGAAGTTTAGGAAGTGTAGGAAGTGTAGGAAGTGTAGGAAGTGTAGGAAGTTTAGGAAGTTTAGGAATTAGCGTTTAGGGTTTAGGCTTCTGTGAGATAGGGCTCTAAGGATTTGGGTCAAGGTTTTGGATCTCTACCCGTTCATCACTAGACCTTAAACCATCATCAGGTCTTGGCTTCAGATCCATATCCTGTAGCATGCTAGGTTTAGGGTTTCGGGTTTCGGGTTTAGGGTTTAGGGGTTTGTTTTTTTCTACTATGTAAGGATCAGGCATATTCCGCCAGAGAAAAAAGGATCCAGGTTAAGCACCAAACCCTCCTTAACGTTACGCAAAACCCTATAAACCCTAAACCCTAAACCCTAAACCCTGAACCCTAAACCCTGAACCCTAAAACCTAAACCCTAAAGCCTCAGCCCTCTCTGCTAGACATGTCTTTCCTGCCCTCTTCAACAAATCCTTCCCTGAACATTTCGACAGAGCCCCCACCCATGCCTGCGGTTTCTGGCACTACGGGGATTTACGAAAATAGGGGGGTTCCCTTTCTGGGGGTTCCTACAATGAGGATTCTGGAAATTGTGGGGTTCCTATAATAAGGATTGTGGTATTTTGGGGGTACATCAGGGACCCTGAACCCTAAACCCTAAACCCTAAAGCCACATTTGGTCCATATCTTGGCGGTCAGCACTTGGCATCGCTGGGCCTCGCAGCCGCCACAAGCTCGCCGCCGTTGGTGACGCGGCTGGGGCCCTGGCGGTTGCCTCGCAGGGTCAGTCCGAAAGCCTCGACCCGCGTGTCCTCCATCACCTTACTTCTCCAATAGCCAAGGGGAAAATCTTTTTAAAAGGTTAAACTTCAATATTCCTCGTGAATCAGGAAACCCAAAAAGTGTAAAGTTCAACCAAAGGCGGAGTAAGTCACTGCAAGCCCGGCGAGTCCGCTGCCTTCAATCACAACATCTGAGATGGAAGCCTCCACGTTGTTGCGTGCCAGAACTCCATCAAACGGCCCTGGTATGGCATCACCATCTCCGAGGAATTGGCCATTCCCACTGAAGACGCTGCATGAGCAGCGCGCCTGCAGTGGCTCATCGCCAATGATCGGCCCAAAAAGCACCGCGCCCTGCCGGGCGCAGTCATGCACTCGGCACCTTTGAAGTGAGAGGCGGCCGCCCTCTGCAGCAACTCCTGCACCCGTTGACGACATCACATCGCAGTCCTCCAGTGACAAATCACCTCCCGGGGAAAAGACTGCGTAGTTGTTGGCGACGCTTTTGCCAGCATGCTTGATATTGAAGCCTCGGACCGTAACTTGCGATCCCTGCTCCGCGGTGAGCGCGGCCTCGTAGGGTCTGTCTGACTCCCATACCAGCGTGGCAGCATTCGGTGGAGAAGACTCCAATGTCAGGACAGGGCCCCGTGGGACCCGAACTTGTTCCCGGTAAGTGCCCGCCGCCACGGTCACGAGCGCTGTGCCAGAATCCTTGGGAATAGCTCTCAAGGCCTCAGTCACTGTGGTGAAGCAGTTGGCACTGTCCTTGGCACCGTCGCACCCCACCGTGGCAGTCCACACTGACTCTGCCGAGGCGGGTGAAGGTGCAGCCAGTGCCAGGAAGAGCGCTCTGCGTGGACTGACAGTTGGCACCTTTGGGACAGATGCACCTTGGCCAGGAGAGCCAGGCAAGGCAGCTGCTAGCAAGCAGAGCAAGCAAGTTGCACGCCCACACGCGGCCAGAAATCTCGTCCCTGGCGCTCGATGACCGCAGTGCGGCATCGCGGTCACACCCAGTCTAGTCTTAAGAGGGGCCATGGCAAGAAGGGAGTCTTGGATATCTACAGCACCCGTCACTAAAGGGACCCGCTGAGCTCACTGAGTCTTGTTTACAAGTTATCTGCGAAACGCCTGCCGACACTAAACCCGAATCCCCATGACCGGCGCTGAGGCAAGCGTGCCAATGTCGGACCTGGAATGGGTGAAATCTGTTGTTGGATGCTGCCGAGTACGTTGATGCCAGCATTTGAAACATGCAGCAAGCGTTGCCGACCCACAAGCGTAAGAAAAAGGGCTGCAGTGTTAAGATGACGGCGAGACACCTGAAGCCGACGGGCCACCTCATTCGAGTCGATTGCATGCAGTTGTTGGGCCTTGGGGTTGAGCCCACTGAATGTTTCTATGCGGGATGCTGCGCAGAATCTAGGGTCAAGGGGTTCGGGGGGATTCGAGCCATTCATACTTGGACTACAGTACTTAATTTTAGGTGGCCAGGGTTGGGCTAAGGGTTGGGCTAAGGGTTGGGCTAAGGATACGTACACCTTGATGTTGGCAGCTGTTCTCGCATGAAGCCTGGATAAAACGGGCCACTTCTCGAGGCGTAGTGGGCTGTGTGCGAAAACGTGGAAACTTTCAGAAGCACAGCTGATGCGTTACCTTCACACGGCAGAAGGATGTTTACACGATTACACGTGTTCGCAACGTCAAGGCGGATCAGTTCGGAAGACCTCCACAAGCCGAAGAATGCTTTGAACGGCAACCGACAAGGCACCCGGTCTTGCCCCGTCCACCAGGCGTGCTCCAATCCAGACGAGACAGCTCTTGGGTCGTTCCCAGAGACTCCAAAACCCCTAAATTAAGGAATATACCTTAAATCATATGATAGTTCCTATTATAAATTTAGGTATATTCCTTAATTAAGGGGTTTGGGAGTCTCTGGGTTCCGAGGTTCAGGCTTAGACGCTCATGCCAGGTTTGGCCCATCATATCTTGGCGAAGGAGGGCATGCTTCGCAGCGCGCGTGATTGGGAAATGGTGTACAAGTCTATGAGATATGAGAAGTTGAATGATCTTGAGCCGTTTCTGAGCCCTTTCGGAATGTTCGAGGTTCGGGTTCGGGAGTGGAAGTAAGCCACGCACCCGAACACTCCCCCGAACCCTCCCGAACGCTCCCGAACACTCCAAAGGAGGACTTCCCGAACACTCCCGAACGGACTCCCGAACAGTCCTGGACACCCCCGCTTCCGAACGCTCCCGAAACACTCTTGAACACTCTTGCGTCAGTAATTGCGTCCCTAGAACATTCCCAAACAACCGCGGGGCTGCGTGGGATTAAGGGCAAGCGCTGCATAAGCCTTGGTACCCTGGAGGCCAATCCTTTATTTGCTTTTGCAATTCTTGCTGGCATGCTGGCAGCGCTGATGCTTGCCGGCCTTCGAGATGAATGTACTATGCAGCCGTAGCCGGCGCAACCCCAAAGAATTTGCAGGCAAACAGCAGGCAAAGCGAGGGAGTCGAACCACAGGCAATGCCTCTTCTGACGCAGAACCGCGCAGACTGCACGGATTGGGACCTGTGAGAGGAACCAGGAGCCTATCGTGCCAATTGATTCCCGTGAGCATGCCATCTCTGCCCGACCTCACCCCCGTTTGGCACACGCCTGCCTTCCACGTCAAGAGTCAGTTCTACAAACAAAATCCCGATAAAGCTCTGTCAATAGTATTGTCCCGCTTGCCCTTGCCTGTCTTCCCCCCCAAAAAAACAAAACACATGTTTTTTCAACCCGCCAACCAGGATGGGCTATGAGGCCCTAGAATCCCCGTAATCATCTCCATAAAGGGCCTTTCCAAGGGGTTATAGGGTGTAGTAGCCCGTCCTGGAAGGGCTACCTCACCCTATAACCCTGTTCATTGCCTGATGGCATCCTGGTTCTCTTCCGCACCCAGATTCTGAACCTTGTTAGGATGTTCCCCCTTCTACTAACAGCCCTTAATTCATAGGGATACTAGTACCCCTAGTGTAATCCCTATAAGGACTGTTAGTATAAGGGGGAGCATCCCAACCTCGGCTTTAAAAAAATGTTCGCCAAGGAAGCTCGGGCTTCAAGAAGCGCATTTTCAAAACCACCCAGGCCATACGCTGCCCCCTAAGGCTTGTAGCCCCTCCTTTGGGCGCCTGAGCTTCCAGCAGCGAGCTGAAAGTGGCTCTCACCCGAGCATGCCCTGAGGCCCTCAGGCAGGCGTTTACACGTGCCGAGGCGCGCGCGCATCGGATCTTCAGCAGCGGTTCTCCTTTCGGGCGATACCTTCGAATTCCTATCCTTGGTGTGGCTGGGGCGAAAGTCTCAGCGCACCTTCTGACTTCTAGGTTGCAAGGGAATATACTGAATATACTGAAAATTTGGTAGAAGGCTGGAAGCTTCTGCATCACAGAGAATCTTCTTTGAGGGTCCAGTGAGGCTCCCAACAATTAAGACATCGTACATTCGATAGACCCCTTAGAGCCATAATATAGATTTGCTGAATGCCCTTGGTCTTTTATAAACGAGATAGCAAGAAGCTTAAAGAAACCCTTGCATTGGGGATCTTGAGCAGTGCGCGCGCCCTGCAACAGCCGTGGGGAAAAGAGTCCGATGCTTCAAGCACCGTGCTCCGCAAATGGCTGCCGCCGCTCCACGTCTCCAGGCAATCGCATGGCTTTGCCGAAGCGTACACTCTTCCCCGCAACTTTCGACGAAGTCCACAATCTCTCCCGAAAAAAAGGTTTTAAGCAGCGTTTCGCTCGAGACAGACCTTTGAATGACTGCGAGTGGCTGTAGGCTTCTGACTTTCAGGTTAGGGCATGAAACGGCTGTAGCACTGGGATGAGGATAGAACCTAGAGAGAGTGGAAAACCCTAAGCCCCAAACCCCTAAGCCCCCAAGCCCCTAAACCCCAAAACCCCAAAACCCTAAGGAATATTCTGGTTCACGAAGGTGCTCCGGTCATGTTCAAGCTGCTTTGTCCTGGTACATTGTACGTTGGGGATCCCCGAAAGTCACTGGGAAGCTGGGAAGAAATGGAAGCAGCTTGGGCCACGTTAGCATGAACCGAATCAACAAGGCTACTGAAGCACAGTGTCCCTTTCGTGGTTGCTGAGTTCAGAAGCCCCAAAGAAGTCTACACTTTCAGTTCTTTTTTAGGGGATCATAGTATCCCAGAAGAAGTGTCAAGTGTACTCGCTCAGCAACTAGGCCTTCTGTACTTAGACCTGCATGGCCTCCGCATCCACGATCTTGCAGGCCGCCTTCTCAGAAAGGACGAGAGCGCGCTCTGCGAAAAAGTTCTTCGTGGCTTCGAAGTGGCGCAGCATGCCATCGACCGACACCGCACCCTCCTTGGGCTCCACGCTGATGGCGGTAAAGTCGGCGCTTCGGACTCCTCCATCTTCGTAGATCGCCTCCCGAACCTTGTAGCCGAAGAGCTCCTCCAGGGCATCGAGTGCCTTCTCCATGTAGAGGCTGTCCTGCTCATTCTTGTAAAGGTGCGGGTGATTTGTGACGACGTCATCGCCTTCAAGGGCACTTCCCGATGTGCGGAACACCATGGAGTACCGATCCTCCGTGATGTTGAAGACGACGCCTGCATGCTTCTGAAAAGCATCGAAGGCCAGCGCCTCTCCCACATCGATTGCGGCATAGATGCCCTTCACCTGCTCCTTTGGAGCAGCATGCCGGTGGCGCATGGACCAAACGTGGACATTGAAGAAGTTGGCCGCAAAATTCGCTAGCTTCCGGTCTGTCCTGTTGGAGAAGTGCGGGTACGTGCCCAGGAAAAGGGCCTTCTGCATCAAGCCTCGGTTGGCATCGTTGATGTAGCCGCCCTCCAGCAATGACTTGTAGGCATAGTTCGGGGTCATCCTCCACCAAGTGTAACTCAAAACTAACCACGGCCTGCGTTAAAGACTACACAGCCCAAACATTGCGGTGCCAAACGCGATCATCTAAAAGTTTTCCGGCTTATGCAAGTTCCTGACTTTGCTGGAGTCACCCCCCCCCCCCTCATTCATCTGAGGCTACTTTTCAATTGGCTTCTGCTGGTTCCAAAAAATCTCACGATAAACTCAGGTTCCAAAGCTTCAGGCCATACAGGGCCCCTGGTCCCACAGGCTTCAGGCTGTACTCTCCCCACCACCCCTCCTCCCCCACTCCCCCCCTTTTCTTGGGAGGAGGGGGGCGGGCGGGACGAGCGCAACCTGGAACCCCAAAGGCCGAAACTCGCTGAGATCATACCCTAAACCCTAACCCCCTAAACCCCCCAAACCCCGTAAACCCTGTAAACCCCTTAAACCCCCTAAACCCCTAAACCCCTAAGCCCCTAAGCCCCTAAGCCCCTAAACCCCTAAACCCCCTAAACCCTAAACCCTCAACTCTCAACCCTCAACCCTAAACCCTAAACCCCAAACCCAAGCGTCCGCGCGACCGAGGAGGTCTCCCAGACGAGGAAGGGCTTGGAGCCCTGCGTGACAGGATTCAGCGCCACGTGGAAGTTCACCTTGGCTTGGGAGGGTTTAGGGTTTAGGGTTTAGGGTTTACGGTGTAGAGTTTGGGGTAGGTTTTAGGGACACTGTAGGCTTAGGGCGTAGTTGGGGGTTCATGGGCGGTTACAAATAATAGGGTGATAAGTATGGTAACTATCCCTAGAACCATAGTGAGAGTACTTATACCCCTACTTAGAACCACCCATGAGCCTCCAAGTAGGGTTGAACAGCCACGGGGGTATCAAAACTCCTACCTCCTAACCCTACACCCGAAACTCTCAACCCTAAACCCTAAACAACCCTAAACCTAAAACCCAGGGGGGTTATCCGCACCCAGCAACTCCCTCGCGCCTGGCTCGGGAAGGAGTCGGAAAGGCAAAGCTTGGCATCTGCCGGCATGGAGGAGAATGTGCAGTGCACGCCATCAGAGTCGCCGATGGGCATGCCAGCCTTCTTCTACCATTTGCTTAAGAGCCCCCCCCCAAAAAATGAAGAACAATGTAATCCTTATATTGCCCTTCTACTACTTGCTTAAGATTCCTCAAAAAACCCCCAAAAAATAGTCTAAAGGAAGAATATATCTATTTATTGGGGGGGCTCCTAAGCAATTCGTAGTGGCAGTGGCACTAGGGCAAGCAGCGTGTAGGCGGGACTTGCGAGTTATGACGCGTGCACGATCTTCCCCGCCTTATGCCGGAAGCTTTTCACCTGCACAATCTTGACACCTGGGTTATAAGCCTTGATGACATCCATGTTCCTTGGCAACTTCTTGGCGGCATTTCTGTGGGGCGGCGGGGCTGCGTGATGACTGACGAGGGCGCGTGCTTGGATCAAGCTTTTCTATCAACCTCGATACGAGGCCTCCCACTCTATCATACTAAACCCTAAACCCTAAACCCTAAACCCTAAACTCTTGCCACCTGGCTTCTTCTTCAGGATCTTGACGGCTGTGGGATGGAAAAAAGCAGCCAAGGTAAACTCCGCATCCAAGGTGGTGAAGCCTTTGAAGTTCCTCGTGAGTTTAGGCTTTAGGGTTTAGGTAGGGTTCATGGGTAGTTACAAGGTGGTGAAGCTTTTGAAGTTCCTTGCGGCAGAGGACTCACTTGGAGGCTCATGGGCAGCTACACCTGGGGCTATGAGTAGGATGACTGCAGTTCTCTCTGGCTCGAAGCTATAACCGTATTGCGATACGTATCACCCGCCTTAGAACTACATACGAACCTTCAAGCAAGCTAAAAGTCTCTGAGCGAATTCTGAATCCAGTGCTGCTTCGGAATGCGCACAGCCTTTGAGGCACTGCTGTTTTTACCTGAAGACTTGAATAGTCCTTTCTTGGTTCTGTTGTAGTTTCCTAGTAGGACTCACAGCCTCATAGCGTACAACCCCAAAAGGCACGCTCATTCCAATTGAACCTGCGCAGACTGAACAAAGCCGTCAAGAAAGCCCCAGGGTCAGGCGCGAGCGGAGGAGTTTCTGGAACTCCGAGACCCGATCCATCTCTTGTCGCAGTGCAGCAGCTTCCTCCTCGGTGATGTCAATCTTCACCACCTGAGACTTGCAACTAGGGTTTAGGGATGTTCAGGGTTTAGGGTTTAGGGTTTAGGGTATTTTTGCAGGGGAATCTTGTGTTCGCACATCGCCCCCCTGCCTTGGATCGGTAAGGCTTCAGCTCACGCTTGACTGCGGGGACGTACTCGATGTCCTCTCTTCAAAGCTGCTTCATGCTTTGGCCGTGCTCTCCCAGCAAGACAAACGCATCATCGGCTGATGGTTCGCAGGGTTTAGGGTTTAGGGTTTAGGGTTGCTGACATGTATCGGAGGGCTCTTGAAGATGTAGGATCTTTTGGGCGAGTTGCCCGAGATTTGAGCCACTGCGCCTGTGACAGTTTGCCCCACCACCTGGCTCATACCATCCAAACCTGAACCCTACGGCCTTGAAACTGCATCTGAGTACTATAAAGGCCTATACACGAACCGACCCACCAAACCCCTAACCCCTAACCCCTGACCTCTAACCCCTAAACCCTAACCCTAAACCCTAAACCCTAAGCCCACTCGTGGTCCTTCTTAAGCGTCTCCAGGAAAACCGGGAAGTAGCTCTGCATCTCGGGGCTCATGGTATAGTTCTCCACGATGTCATTCCTGGGATGACTAGGGCTTAGGGTTTAGGGTTTAGGGTTTAGGGTTTAGGGTTTAGGGTTTAGGGTTTAGGGTTTAGGGTTTAGGGTGACTACAGTAGCAAAGGGGCCACGATCCACTGTAACACTGTGGCGAGAGATGCTGAGAGGAAGGGGGTGCGGTGCCCCCCCAAGTCCACCCCGCCTCCCCTGCCTCACACGGCAACCGACCGCCGACCCACAACCCCAAAAGGAACCAAAGGAATTGCATCACCCTAAGCCCTAAAACGCGACAATCTAAACCTAAACCTTAAACCCCAAACCCCCAAACCCTAACCAAATCAAGTAGAGTCTTCTCAAGTGTAGACAGAAGAGATTCTGGAAGGCAATGTTCTGGTCCAGGGCCTGGTTGAACATGCCCTCGACCTCCACGAGCCTCGGGGATTCGAGGGTCTTGGGACTTCAGGGGGTTGGAGCACCCAAAGACCGCTTGCATCTCAACACCACAACCCCCCTTTAGCCTTAAGGCCTTTCTCATCCCAAGAAACCCGAGCCCTAAACCCTAAACCCTAAACCCTAAACCCTAAACCCTAAACCCTAAACCCTAAACCCTAAACCCTGAACGCTTCATCCTCAAACCTCCACGCGCCTGGGATGTGGCGCAGCACAGTCTTCCTTCGAAGGCTCCGTTCGGCTCACGATCCCGTGTCCTGCACTCTTGCTTTCCTTTAGGGCTTAGGGTTTAGGGTTACAGGGCTTAGTTGCAAGGCTTGTAGGTTCTTAGGGCTTTGCTGTTCTAAGCGGAAGGGGGGAGGGGGTTTGAGGATTACACTTCTCAGGCTGTCGAACTTTGGCAATAACTTTGGGCGCAAGCTTTGGGCTTCGAAGTTGGGTGTTAGGGTTCAAAAATTACAAATGTGCCGGAGTTGCCTGGGTTTACTCCAGACATGGGTCACGACTAAGTAAGAAGCTGTGAACTGTAACCCAACACCTCCCAGAGAAGCCTAGTATGAAAACGTCTGAAGCCTAAGGTGTCGGCGCTTCACATCCAGAGGAGGGGCCAAGGAGTGCCAGCATCAAGATTCTTAGGCAATCGCAAAGCGACACCACAGCCCTCAACCGTATATACCCTAAAGGTCCATGTGTGCCCCAGTACTATGCGCTTGAACAACAAAATCACGATATGTGGACCCCTCGTAGGGCTCAGGGTTGAGGTCCTGCGAGTGGAAGGTCCGTCGGCACTGCCCTGGGCTCATTCACCGATAGTTTTTGGATTTGGGCATTCGATAAATCAGGCCCGACGCTAAGAGAGGCCTCGGTGCTCAAGCCCTTCTTGGGGGATCATAGGACTGAGTAAGTAGGGTTACAAGTACCCTAATTGGGGGTTACTAAGTCACGTAAAGTGTTGCTGTAGGGTTCAGGGGTGTAGCCGCGCAGCCGACATGTCCTTAAATGATCAGAGCGAGGTTTGCGAGGCCCGGAAGCTGTTTTGTTGCCACCAAGTTTGAGGTCCTCTGCCGGCAAAAACTTGCAAGCCCTGATGCGGTTAGGGTTTAGGGTTTAGGGTTTAGGGTTTAGGGTTTAGGGTTTAAGGTTCAAGGTTTAGGGTTTCCCTGAGCCACCCCAGGGACATGAAGTGGTAGCTAAGTGGGGTAACGGCAGCTATGGCTGGCTCAGCCCGTATTTTGGGGCACCTCCGAATCCCGGTTTGTCTGGGTCGACTAAGTCTAGCAGCCTAGTGTATTAAAAGAATCTCATGGGTAGTCTATATATATATATATATGTACGTATGTGTGTGTATATATATATCTATGACATGAGTATGTAGCGTTGTTCTGGGATAATATTGGCAATCATTCCCTGGGTTAATATTGGCAGTCATTCCTGCCCCTGTGTTACCTATGAACCTTCACACGGGACTCGCGCAGAGACCCCCAACATTCCTTAACTGAGGGGACAATCCTGCAGTTGCAATAGGGATCCTATTGGGATGGTTTAGGGTTTAGGGTTTGAGGTTTAGGGTTTAGGGTTTAGGGGTGCCTCTGGGCATCTGTCTGGCTAAGCTGCCATGGTGGCGTGCCCGGAGTGGCACTCTCCAAAACACTTAGGAGCGCAAGAGGAAGCAAGAACAGGAGCTGCATGGCGAAGGGGATCTCCTTTCGCAGGCTCTTACAGGGTTAAGGTTTAGGGTTTAGGGCTTAGGTTTAGGGTTATAGGGCTCATAGGATTTGTAGCTTTACACTCTCAAGGGCTTGAATCCAAGGGTGTGGTCTGTGTGCATGTCGGCACCCGACCCTGCTCTCATGCGCTTCAGCGGTCCTGCGGCAGGAAGTCCCGGAAGGCACGGACCCCACACTCTGCAACTTGTGCCAAATGCTGAAGGCTGCGGAAATCTTGCTTTTTTCGGCTCAACCCACGATCATGAAGTTCAAAGCCCTCAAATCCCAACTTCTCAACCCTCCATATTAAACCGCTGGCCTCCCCCTGTCCTTGCGAGCTAGTAACCCCACCCTCATCAGGCAGAGCAAGGTCACCTCAACCCTAAACCCTAAACCCAAAACCCTAAACCCAAAACCCTAAACCCAACAAACCCAAGGATCCACTTTTTTTCTCGTGGCCCCAAGTGCTGGCGGAAAGCTGCCAGAGCATCCCAGAAGGTCGAGTCCTCAGCGCTACAGGGCTCGAAGTTGGCTGCTGGAACCCCGGGGTGTGGGTTTTAGGGTTTTAGGGTTTTAGGGCTTTAGGGTTTTAGGGTTTTAGGGTTTTAGGGTTTTAGGGGTTTAGGCGTTTAGGGATTTAGGGTCGTAAGCAAGAAGAGAAGTATCCCGAGGGCCAACCTAGGGGGATTCGGTGGTGAGGTCTTTTCTGGGTGCTTGGAGCGTTTTGGAGCTCGGGGCCTTGGTTGGTTTGTTTTTTTTCGGGCTTTATGGGGCCTCTGAGGATTACAACGAGGGGGCAGGGGGGCCAGTAAGATGGAATGTAGAATGGAGAGCTTCAGGGCAGAAAGCAGATTCAGTCCCTATCGACCCTAAACCCTCCTCCACCCTAAATGGAGGCTTACGAAAATGGGGTCCCCTGAAAATGAGGACCCCAATAAAGGTACCCCTAATGTCGTAAACCCCCCTAAGCCCTAAACCCTAAACCCTAAACCCTAAACCCTAAACCTTGAACCTTAAGCCCCAAACCCCGAATATCGTAAACCCTCAAATCACAACTGCCAGAGCCTGTGGGTCGAGCGCCACCGCCCGGGCCAGCAACGGCTCGGCCGACCAGTGGCGGCCCTCCTCGAAATCCGGAATTGAGGGTTTAGGGTGTAATTAGGGTTTAGGGTTTAGGGTTTAGGGTTGAGGGTTTAGGGCTTAGTAAGGGTAGTACATGGTTCCTTCATATGGGCGCTTAATTGGGAGCCCCTTATATACCCATACAACCCAAGGGACCGTTAAAAGAAAGTAAGGGACCGGGGTACCTTTTTAGGGTTTAGGGTTTAGGGTATAAGTCCCCCAGATGAGGTCATCGCACGTACAACTGCAGCTGCCCTACGTATATCCTCTACTATGACTACTCATGGCAGAGCAAGGTGTGGGTTGAAAATTGTGTGCTCCACTGGTGTCCCTATGGTAATCCGCTTCATGCAATCTATTCAGGGTGCCTAAAAAGGGCCTTTATGCCTAAACCCTTAACCCTAAACCCCCAAACCCAAAACCCAAAATCCTAAACCCTAAATCCTAAAAGGGCCATAATGTGAACCGTCCGCCTCACAAATTGGGCTTCTAGCTTGGGCTTCGGGCTCAGAGACTCCATCGCACTGTTCCTACTTGGAGGTTCATGGGTAGCTATAAGTAAGGTTCTAAGTACCCTAAGTAAAGATTACCATAAGTATAACCCTGCCTAATTTGAAACTACCCATGAACCTCCAAGTAGACTGAAACCCATAGGCCAATAGGGTTCAACCGTACACCGGCCCCAACAATCACAGCCATGCTCATCGTTGCTCTTTAGGCGAGGACTCGGTTTTCAATTTAGGTGCATCGGCTACCAAAAGGCATGTGAAGAGTCTTTACCAACTATTTCAGACAATACCATGACGTCCGCAATAGAGAAGCACGAACCCGCATTTATGTAGATAGCATGTATTTCAGACATCAGACAGCCGGCTTTCGGCTCTGGCCTATGGTCTGTATGGCTTGCAACACCCCAAACACTTGGGGCTATGCGGGAGGCATCACGCGTGCAACCTGCGTAGGTAAGCATGGGATGCCGTTTAGTGCGGAAAATCTAAGGCCTGAGAGAAACATTCGACCCCTGTCGCTGCATGTACATACATTCGCAGTTCTCTACACTGTGGTTCCTGCATTGGGCACCGTCATGTTGGTTGATGCCGAAGAAACTCAAAGAAGGGTTTAACTAGGAAACCCTAAACCCTAAACCCTAAACCCTAAACCCTAAACCCTAAACCCTAAACCCTAAACCCCAAGGTTTAGGTTACCACCCCCCGGCAACATGAGCATAAAGCTGCAAGAGCTCCAAACAGATCGTAGTCCCAGTCATCTGCCTCCGGCGTTGTGTCGCAGTCTGCTGTAAGCCGAAAAAAAATCCTAAACTTGGGGATGAACAGCCCTTAATAGGGATTCTGGTCCCCCCCCCCCCCCCGATTACGTATAAGGGGGAACATTCAAACCCTAAACCCCAAACCCCAAACCCTAAACCAACCCCAAAGTCCATAACCCAGATGCAAACCCTGCACCCGCTCTCCGAAAAAGGCTTCGCTGGAACCTCCAGCAACCTAGGGACTTACATAAGGCTCCCTTGTTCCGCGTTGCGTAGCCCTAAACCCTAAACCCTAAACCCTAAACCCTAAACCCTAAACCCTAAACCCTAAAGACAACAACATCATAGCCGGGGGAGTCGACGGGCGGCATGAGGATGGGGAGCTCAAGGCATTTATCCCTCCCACAGATTTTTTTGAAGTCTACCGCACTGGCTGGGAAACTCCCTGCCCCAAAGAACTTAACTCCCCCGAGTCCCTTCTAAGGTAAGTTAGCCCCCTCGCCCTTCGACCCTGCAGGGCAGTTCAAGTTTGACAGAGGCCCCCCCAAACTCTGGTGATGAATACTATCGCAGTCATCGATATCGGGGCGGGGATTCCCTAAACCCGAAACCCTACACCAGGGGTTTGGGTTTGAAATTTTCACTTTCTGGAGCCTTTGGCGCTAAAATCGAGACCCGCTAACTAGCCCGAAACCAAACCCTAAAGCCCTCACGCCCCCTGAAAAAGCGTCGCTTGGGCCTTTTGGGGGGCTCACAAGGTATATAGGGATGTACAGCGCTTGTGGGGTTGCACACTAGAGTAACGTACCTTCACTCTCTGCGCTCTATGAATCCAGATCCCCAAGACCACACAACCTGGAGATGCCCCTACATGAAACCCTAAGCCCTCAGCCCTACTTGGAGGTTCATGGGTAGTGAAAGTAGTGCTACAGGTGTCCCTAATAAGGTGGTAATTACCGTTGCCATACTTGTGGTTATAATTACGGCTACCAGATAAGCAAGGTTAGAAGTACCCTAAATAGGGTTTCAAGTATAGTTACCATAGTTACTACCCTCCCTAAACCCTAAACCCTAAACCCTAAACCCTGAACCCTAAACCCTAGACCCTAAACCCTAAACCCCTACTTATGAGTTTCAAGTGGGTCCCAAAATGCAGCCGCGG